TGTGTGTGTGTGTGTTTGTGTGTCTTTACATTCAGTTACATGCAGTTTATTATTCAGAGCAGCTGGTCGTTGTAATAACGAGTTTAACGTACAAGCATATTTCCCCAAAATCACAAAGCCACTTTTAACACAAGCAGATGCCACAGAGCTTTTCCCTCAGACAGGTGTTGGGTTTATTTCAGGTCACATTGGAACTGTCGTAAGCCTTAATTTCCTGTCGCCTGCCATCAAACCGTTACGACGAGAGAACCAGTAAATCTGCATCTTAAATTGATGCAGTTCAAACCGTGCAGCAGCAAACTACACAACGGTGCCCGATTTGAATGTAAAGAGAGAATAAACAAGCCTAAAGAAATGTGATGTTTACGATAGCTGGCGTTCAGCTCTGCAGCGGTGCAGGGAGACGAGCGGACTCCTGACAGAAGGATGTAGAAGTGTCGGTTCTGTTTTAAGAATCTCGTTAGACGGACGACAGCTCGAGTGTTTGCTTGATGATGACGAAACGGTTTTTAACTGTTTAACAAGTCGGCCAGTTGTGGGAGAACACTCGTCCAATAATGTGAAATCTCTCAAATATTCAAAAAACAGCAAAGTGTAAAATCGGTTTCACTGGTTTCCTGTCCACATCATTGTCGACGCCTAAATGACGAGTGTTGGATAACGTATTTTACTGTACATTGAAAGTGCTCTAGTTTTTTTGTATTTCAAATGGAGTATGGCCAAATGAAAAAAATGTACAGTGCAGATGTTTGAATCGCATCTTTAAAAGTGTTGGATTGTGGATGCAGATGTCAACCTTTAGACAAAGACGTAAACCCACACACACCAGTTCATGTGTGAATGAGTTATTTTACAATGCAAATTCTTTCTTTTCCTCAGCTTTGTTTTTGTTGCTTCTTAGAAGGATACTGAAAATGTGAATGTGCAGATGTTCAAATTTTCCATTTTTGTAATGTCTTGTTTTTTTTTTTTTAGATCCTTTGCACAATGTTTTCTAAAGGGTTTGTGTTTACAGGTTTTGGATGTAAGAAGGGTTCGATCCATTCCTGGATTCTTGTCTTAATGTTGCTCTGTAGTTTTCTGGCCAGTTGCAGTTCCTGACGGAGGAGGGAGCTCAACCTCATTCACCTCGAAACAAGAAAACAAAAAAAGAAATGGAGCCGTCCTTTTCGTTAGTCATCACTGATCAGACGGGAGCAGGCTGGATGTTGTTTTTACCGGAGGGATGCAGGTTTTCGGTCGACTTGCGAGGTCAGCGAATGCATCAGGGGAGGGAAGGTTGCACGGCCTGCTGTGTCATGATTTGTTTAGTTTCCTCCTGTTGGAAAGAACAAACTTTAAAAGTCATGACTGTGTTCAGCTCTGACCGGAGATAAAGCACAACACAATTTCAAGAGAAAAATAAATACTGTTTACATCCCGGATCCATTGTCTTTGTAACATGTAAAGGTTTGAAAAAGACATTTGCAGTGATCACAGTAAGTTTCTGAAATAAATAAATGCTGTATCGATCTGCGTCGCTGTCGACTTGTTTGTGATGCATTTACATTTTTATTGTTTAGATGTTTTTGAAGCAACACTTGGCAGCTGTTTATCAATTCAGAGGCTAAATCTTTCGGAGGCTGCGTTTGAAGACTGATTGTGTCACAGCGACGAGACTGCTCCACCTCAAAGGCTCCTTCAAATGCGTCCTTTCATCCCAGACAAACAACCTATCCCAAGATTCCTTGCACTTCGATGATGAAGCGATTTTCCTGCAAGCTAATGTAACACGTTAAAAAACCATGGGGGAAAAAGGGAGGTCGTTCAGGGAATATGGATTAGACTGTCTCAATGGGTTTGGCCTTCACGGCCCAAGAAGACTGCTTTCTCCGGACGGGGCGGCCCCTGAACACGGCGTTGACAAGTTCACCAGGAATTTCACTCAAGGTCACGACTTAAAAGAATCTGTCAAAGTCAAGGTTGTCTTTATTTTAAGTCATAGTTACTATCATCCCATTGACGATAAAAATAGTCTAA